TGAGTTGTAGCAACTCAGAATGATACTCAGTAATGTCAGGTTCCGTGTTGATTTTGACTGACCAAGAATACCAAAATACATAGTTTAATTAAAAAGTTAACATACTTCGATTCATTGGATGAAATAAGAATGCAGTATAGTCGACGCTTAATAGATATTCAGATATGATGGTGATGCCATAAATGTGGTAGGTTAGCGAAAACCAGTCTAGCTTTTTCATCTGTATGGAGTTTTTGTCGGTCACAGACCGACCAGGGCTGATGCAACTTCTCAGGTAAGTAAAGTTGTTTTACACGCCCAACCACTTTACCACCTATAATTTGATAGTCTCGGTTGTCAATTATTGACAAAACACTACCAAAATGAAATAGATCCACTGAAAGTTACTCCTATTTTTGATCTCGCTCATTCCAAATTCACATCTTTTAGTCAAGTGTATTCCTTTGCCTCAATGACGCATTGAGCTTTCATTCACTTTAAACGTTCGTTTTAAATTCAGTCATAATCCAATTCATTTTTGCTTAAAACATTCTGAATTTTATTCTACAATTCATGTTACCTTGTATTGTTGAATTATTCATTCACATTGGAAAGCATGACATACTATTGTTATCTTGGTGAGGATTCATGTATATATCATTGACTTGTGAATGTAATCGGTAATTGTATGCTTAAACTAAGTGCTGTTCTCATACACTCAAAATTACTTCGAATGATACCAATGGTTTAAAACTTGACATTTGTTTAACAAAAAATGTTAAGAAGGAAAGCATAATGATGCATTTTTCACTTTATATTATCACTGCACAAAACACTACTTGGTTTCCCTTCAGCTGCCGTTCACACTATATGGTAGACAGAGAGACAAAATCAACGTAGAACCTAGAACACAAGTGCATCGGTCCAAGCTGCTACACTTCATAGTGGCATGTAAAAACAAGTTGATAGCAAAAGACTGATTTCAAAGTAGACAAAAGTGTATTAGGAAGGGGAGGGAATTTGAAAATCAAAGTTAGTAAAAATGTCAGAGAGTGAACACATCTATTCCATTGTGACTAATTTTTAGCCATGTTACAAAGGGTCTTCAACCACTGACTTGTCTCGTCTTGAGGACCCTAGACAGATATTCTGTACTTCCCAACATGACTCCAACCAGCCACCAAGGAATTAATGCACTGGTGCCACGTCTCAGTCTTGTCGCCCTAAACCCTCTTTCAACCTAATTCAACTTTCACGAGTATTGCACTTTGAGGTGTGTTTACTCGGCGTGCACAGGACATGGCCAGTCCAACTTTACGATGAAGGTTTACAACCTCATTGACTGACTTGCCTTCCTTGCCTAGTACCTTTTGCTTGACATAGACTTTGCCGATATGGTGATTCAGGCTTTCGCGATTACTTACAGCTTTTTAACATATGTTTTTTTGGAGCCTCTCTCCTGATATTTAATTCACAATCTGATTTAATGGTGAGAAAGTTAGTTGCTCTGTTCTTATAAGTAGCCCGCAAATAGCTTAATTCGTTATATTCAACTTTCTTCGCCATATTTTCATAAGTCATTGACTGTTTCCGCCTTATATATAAATCTAATTAACTGTCTACTGTTATCTATCACTGCTACTTTTTTCACCTCTTCAGCTTTCGCTGCTTAGCAGTGTTTGTGGCCGTTGCATGCATCTCTTGTCAGCATACACTTGATTTGCTTCCACTTTTTATTGTACTCGGATCACGTAGAGATATGTTTGTGTAAGAAGATGCTGAGATCTACTGTCGCTTCCTAACCAATTCACGAAAGTTTTCAATGCTGTTTTGCTTCAGACCTCTTTCAAATAATAGATATTGCCCCATTCCGATAAATTTCTAACCAGCTTTTTCGCCGAATGCAGCCCTAATGTTCTCACTGTTTAGCTGCGCCTACAATATTCTTTCTCTGTGATTTCTTCACGTCCACTTAGTTGTATCGATACCTCTGGCTGTTATTCTACTTTGCGCTGCACAGGGGTTAGCAATCTCCTACCGACCCACTTCAGCGATAGCTTATAGCAATCTTATCTGTTTTGTCCACAGCCAATATCGAAAAATATCCCTATTTATGACTGAATCTCCTGCTGGCCAGAAAATGATGGTTGGCAGATTACGATTTTAGAAGGCGGTTGACGTTATCTGTTCATTCTACTGAGATCCTAAAAGTGATATCTAAATATTGTTTTCTGTCTGATTTGGTCTACCCACCTGTGCATTGAAGTGACCTGCTACGACAACCACGTCTGAAAGTTTGGCTTTCAGTAGTAGGCTAGACAGCTTTAAGTAGAACTCATACTCCACTTTGTTAGCATTGCCATCGGTGGGTGCGTGGACACAGATTACGAGAAGATAGCGATGAAGTTCTCTACTCTTTTTGTTTCTGACTGTGTCCTTTAGTAGAACAGTGCATGGGCGAATGTCAACTTGGATTCAGCCGAAAGGTACGCCTTTCAATAGGGAAGGTTGCACTAGTATACCACTGCCGGTTACTCGTGAGAAACACCTTATTGCTACCAAACGCCTAGAGAGCCAGTGATACGACTTCACCCTCGGACCCTCATCACAGCATAGTAATTTACACCATAATGACAACTGCTTTTTGCCCAATTACTATTCCAATGGGCTCTCTGGTATGGTGGGACTTTAAGGGAACGAGCGTTTTTCCACCGTAGCTCGGTGGATTATTGTGACGTGCAAGCCAACCAACATGTTAATGTGACAGCTATCAGTCAACTAATCGAATCGAACCACTTCTTTTGCATGACGAGTAAATATCCTACGTGGCTGCTCACACCTAGGTAGATGGAGTGACATTCAAAACTAAGAATGACTGATTGGAAAAAAGAAAACTAGAGATTTCTTCAGTTTGAGCCAACATGATAATTACCAATTCACAAAATCCTTATGCATTGATGACGATACATAGCACGACACTGAAGTGTTGGCCAACTAAGGTCTTAGCTCCAGAAACAACTCACTTTGAACATCCATATCCTCAGTTAAAATACTCACCACAAATATCAATCTGTCATAACTTTGTGTCTTAAACCTCTAAACTTTTCAGCTGTACAAGAATTTTTGTCAGAACTTATTAGAATAGGCTTCAAAAGGAGTAACTGCACAACGTTTGTGTCAATGAATGACTCACTGACTTCTGAAATCTCAGATAAAACCAGTCACCAGGAGGTGCATAGCTTCAAGTAGTGTAACAATATTATTTGGAAATGAGATGCAACAAATACAGAATGACAGAAAAAATTGAATAACAGTTTTAAACGACGTATTCAAAGCAGCTCTCTTTGTCGTATAGTAAATGTTGATAAAACAAAATGATAAATCCGCAGAACATTCAGAATGGCTTTTTATCGTGAACCACATTCCATAAACACCTGAATCACCAATTATCATTACCCCCTAAACCTTGTTCATGAACTCTTAATACACCAACAGATACAAGCTAAATATGACTTTCTAGTCAAGAGGATGGAAAGTTATCGCACCAACTGAGATATTTTCAATAGATCCATTAGCCATTAAAGCTGGCTTCACTCAATGAGTGATGACTTCTATCACGCCTACATACCTGCTGCAACACCTAACAGTTGCTTACATGTTGGTCAAATATAGAATCTCCGGGCTTCCCCGTTTTAGACACTAAACTTTTATTTGCCACCGTTTACATTTGGACTAACGTCACCATGTCATACAAAGTTCAAACTAATCCAAAAAGGTTCATCACTAAGATTAAGAGTAGGTACATGAGTTTGCCAGCTAGACATAGCACATGTCATACTTACGGACACAGATTCTGAACTGAATCAATGAGACTGGAGTGGCTTTCTTTGTTTCACAGTGGGATAATATCATTTGTATTATAACAGTGGATCAAAGGGAAATAAAATGTGTTTTGCATAATCATATTCCGATCCGGTTAAATGGAGTAGGTAAAAACGCTGATTATCTAAGTTCCTGCCATCAATGCTTCCAAGCGAGTTTAGAATGAGAAGTTACTTCAACACTCAAATAAGTAATACAAAGGCATATTAAAACCACTGACAAATCTAGTGTACACACTAAGTACTGGGAACACTAATACTTCAATTTAGGAAAATTTCAGCTAAAAAGTTGATGAGAACTGTGCATGAAACGACAAGTGAAAGGTGAGTGGATAGGCTTTGCTATAAGGAACCAACAGATAGGATTTCTCATCAAATAAACCCAAGAAACTAAATAGTCAAACTACTTTTTTCATTGTGAAAATTATTTTATCAAATTCACGAGATAAGGTTAATAATTTCAGTATAAACTATTATTGAGTGTGACTAATACTTATCAAACACACTCCACCACCCTAACATAAAACTTAGGCACTAATGGAATCCTATGCAGTTGGTCCTTGTGTACAGCCTAACAGATAACATTCTGGAGGTGATGGTGATGGGTGTTGGGTTTGAGTCTCCGTGAGAAAGACATCACTTCCTGAAGTGTGGGTACATCAAGCTGATTCTCATGCGTAAGGAAGATGCATTCTAGATTGCAATGCAAACCGAAACCAAGAAAATAAAACAGCAGAAAACAGTGTTTAAGAAACAAATTGAATTCACCTTATTTTTTCAGCTTTACTACTGCTATATCAGCTCAAGACATGCAAGAAAGTTAGATTCAAGGTAGTTATAAACCATCTTCTATCATATTTGCCCTTTACTTTGCCACTGTGAACTACTACCAAAAAAATGATGCGAAATTGAATGCTTATCTTCTAACACTATGGTAACATCATACAGAAAATTTAGTTACCCTTGACTGTGACAGAGTCATAAAACATCTATGAAGTCCTTCAGCCTTAACATATTTCATTTTTACAAACTAAATATCACTGAGGTCTTTATTTAGATCTATAAAATTCTCTGCTCTTCATTAAACATAAATAATAAGAAGAGTAAAAAAAGTTTCTATATATTTTAAATAGCACTCACTGTCATATCCGCCAATTTTCTCCAGTCCGGTTTTAAATAATATGATATACCGGTAGATGCACCGTCTAACTGCGCTGTTCGTACAAGTAGTATAATCATGAATATATACGGTGTGGTTGCAGTAAAATACATAACCTAAAATAAAATACTGTTTTAAAAACGATGATTATGTAGTTGAGTTCATTGGAATGCATTTAAAATCACTGAAGTTTAAGAATTTGAAAACATTTGCATCTGTGTGCATATATTATGCGTTACACTTCAATAGGAATCGCTCATAAACCTTGTGCTGTATTAATGGAGCCCCAAACAGAAAGTATTTATTTCAGAATAATTTGAGGGTAAACTATTCCACTTTATACAGTCCCACACATTTAAGAGTCAGTATCTGTCAAAAGAGAAACCGTAGAACTCCACAGAACAGTAGTTACTTGCTGCAAAGATATTTAATAAAAGTGTTCTTGAAATGCACTAAATTTTCATCTCCTAATTGCATTTCGTATTACAAAGCGTTAATTTTCACTCAGAAAAAGGAAGACAAAAATTGTATGCAAAATTACAAACGACTAAGAGCCTTATGTGTCCATCGATACAAGTTAAAGGATTCAAGAAACACTTTCAAGTACAGTTATCAACATGTTTCCTAGAAGCCTCATAAAAAAGAAAATTATTAAAACAGGATCTTTTAGTCTTGCTATGTATTATAGTATCGTTTTTACCGTTGGAGATCCTTAGGAAGCAAGTCAGATATCTCGAACAGGCCCAATGATCACCTAGAATGTAATGATCGAATTTCATACTTTAGTGCTGTGCCACGTCACCTGACGAAGGGCAGTCATATTCTATGCTTATTAATGATGGAAACTGTATACTTTCTACAAATTCAGAGTGCAGTTTTCATCTAAAAATGTTATCAGTGTTTTACTTTACTCTCCAAGTAGTAGACTCCTGAATGCTTATTATTTAGTAAAGTGCTTAGATCTTGTAATTACAATTTCAAAAGTCACACACTTAGTTTCAAAGTAAAGAAAACCCTGTCTTGATACCATCACTCTATCTAAAGGAAACTACTGCAAGCTGATTTTATTCTTGCAAAAATGAAGTAATGAAATCAAAAGTACATATCTCCTATCTATCTGAAGCTATTAAAATACGTTCAAATTCCAGTAAACTAACAAAAAAAGTAGAATTCGGTGTAACAATGAATCAGTTTAAGTTGTCACTCTTTGCAGCAGATTGAAAAGTAAACTAACATTGAAAATTACTGACAGTGGAAAATAAAAGTGTCTAAGAGGGAAAAGAAGCAATTAATGAAGACTAGTGAAAATGTTCGAATTTCTGAAACTAACAAATAATGTGTACTTATTCACACCCTTAGTAATCAGTCTTGAGCATTATCTCCGGAATTTCATAACCACCGTTTTTATAATATCGAGGAACCTAGCCAAATAGTCTATACTTTCCTAACCGGTTCAAACCAAAAGTGAAAGACCTGGAGAATCGGTGACATGTTCTAGTGTAACCACGTTTAACTTTGATTCCAATTAATCCTACTTCTCTAACAACCTGCGTGAAGGTTAGCAATAGCTTAACATGTACAACATATATTTCAATCAAATCAGTCAACAAAGGTTTACAATCCCATCAACTAACTTACCTCTCATCCCTAGTATTTTATGCCTAACCTCAACATTGCTTGCAAGGCGACCCCACCGTATGTAAAAGAAGCCAGTAGAAGGCTATCAGTTTATTTCAGTAACGTATATGGTGGAAAATTAAATCTTAAAAATAATCAGTTGGTTTATTTCTGCCTTTTAAACATTATTGCTTATAATTTCGGTTACAAAGCTGAAGAATAAATACAAAGACTAGAGTCACTGTGACTTGTTTTAGAAAATAACTAGCACTCTGCTCGAAATATTAATGATGCGGAGACATGAAAATCACTCTTACTGCCCTTTACATAATCACTATTTAGAGCACTGGTTTGTTTATAGTTTTGACATTCAGAAATTCTTGCAGAGATGCTTTAACAAAATGCGGTTAGTGAGGACAAAACTTATGATGGAATACAGCTGCTTCTCAGCCTGAATTTACAATAAAACACAGCGAAATTTATATGTTTGAATTGGTTCATACCATATTTTTCACGTATTCACAGGCTGCTTGTTGCATACATTAAGTAGGTTTTATCACTCGTTTGGAATGTTTAAAATCTTGTAGATGAAGAGCCAGCCTTAAGCTGAATATTTCTAAAATGCCTAACTCATTGTCTTTCAAACACTCGGCTCGTAATAGACATGGATGTTAAAAGGTATTTTCTTTCCAGACGACTTACCTTACATTTGATCAGCTATGAAAACTAAAATAACAAATAAGCTCTGTCTTTGTTTTCTCCTTCAACCATATACTTTATTTTTGTCTTACAGCAGATCAACAGACAAAATCAGCGTAGAACCTCCCACACAAGTGCATTGGTCCAAGTTACCACATTTTATAGTAGTATACAAAGAACAGGTGGATAAAAAAGGGACATTAAGGTAGACAAAGTTGTGTGAGAACAAGCTATTCGATGATAACTGACAGTGTAAATATTCAAGTTTTAGATACCAAGGAGTGAATACACTATCTAACATACTTTTCTGCAATTATCTGCTAGTTATAATCTCATTGAGATGGTAAGCTTTCAGGGATTGCTTCTCAAAAATGAAAATATCAAATCAAAAAGTTATGAAGACTTATGTCAAGTTGCAGAAGCAATTTCACACTTACATTAAGATAATGGAAAAATTTACGTTAAGGTTTAACAGTATATTAATCTGTTGATATGGTATGAACTGCTTGTAAAATAAGTCACCCATCATAACCCCTGTTAAACTTGACAGTTTATTCAGATAATTCTTAATTTTGTGAATCGATGAAAATTCTGTGCATTGTGAAATGGATTAATGTACTATAAGTAAATTTTTAGTGAAGCGTTTGCACACAGTGATAAGTTTTTATTTTGGTAATAAATATTGCCAAAAAATTCCCACTGTTGGTGGGATCATGGGCAGTAGTTTCACTCAAAATATCACAAAAATAAAAACGTATCCTTGTGCATAAACTTTTCATTAAAAATTTACTTATAATTTTTAATTTCGTAGTTCGCGTTTTAGTTACTATGTCAGGCAATTCAGTTACTACAAATAAATTACTGGTCTATAAAATATCTACCACAAAAAGTGACAGAATTTCCTATTCGACTACAAGACACGATTAATTTCTAGTTATGGAATCAATAAAATAAGCTGCAATGAGTGCAGCCGCATGCACTACTGATAGTCTAAAAAAGCAACCCTAGTGGTTTTAGAGTAAAAGAACACAGTGATTATTCTTATTGCTCTCTATTTGAAGACTATTCTGTATCCTTACCTATGGTGTTCTTCAAGTCAAGAAAGAAACATCTATAAATCACTAGAGTGTTTCAAGAAAAATACACTGCAGGGTTGTCTCAGATTTCAGATGAAGCTGACTTATTAACACCTAAGCCTTCCTCAGTGAAAACTATATACTTATGATAAAGAAACCAATATCATCGGTTTCTTTAACCACTGTGCACTGAAGATAATATTAAAATACTCAAACGTGATCAAATTCAAACGACGAGATTTTGGTGAAGTTTTTGTGAAGCCATGAACCCCTTTTTTATAGTTGAAAATGTGTGTAAGTCTGGAATCTTTATAGCACTCAACAGCTGTCGTTTTGTCAAAACAGCAAATGGACACAAATTAATGGCTATTACTGAAATTCTACGCGATTTTTCGTCAGTCTAGTTTTTGGTATCTGGTGGATATCAAGTAATGAGGAGTCACAATGTTTTGCTCCAAACATTTCACTGCTCACACTATCTTTAATTTGATTCTATTCTGGTGTAACTAACTAAATAATTTTGTTTATTACTTTGTCTATTCCAAAACTCCTGTAGGACAGCGTAGATTTTCGTCTACAAGCCATTATAAAGACAATCATCACACAATACTGAGCCTATTAAAATCTCAGTTATAAAGATTTAGTAATGCAATGAAGAACTGAAAGAAAATTTTATTCTACTTCCCTCATAATATGATAAAAGCGAAAATTGGCATGAGAAATAATAAGGTTATAAATGGTTACTTCTGATATAGAAATGTGATGCAGTGAAAGCTGTTAAACATCACACCATCACAGCATAACACTTTCCATTGAAGTGTTTGACGAATACTTTACTTATATGTAGTTTGTCCACTTAGAACGGCTCTCAAATACATCAGTGATTTTCTTGTGTTAAAATCTCCTAGAATTCTATACATACACTCAAGCTAGTGATCACTGGCTGGCAAAAATAAAATTGTCACAAAGTAATTCAGTGAATAAAATTCTCTTTCAGAGGAATTATTTGCAGTGAGTTAGTAGTAGTAATAACAAACAAGTGAGTCTGCTGTTACCGGTCCTGATGTCGCTCTTCTAAAATTGAATGACAGACATCTCATGATCAGTTTCACTAGGAAATTTGAAAACAACTAAGAACTTTATCTTCATGCTTTTTCGTTGGACAGAAGAGAGCTGTCTAAAATGCTCAGTCTACAGGAGACTAAATGGGAATGAACGATAAACTCACAAAAATGGGTGTCACTGAACCTAATTCACTTGCTCCGTACAAGAATAAGAAGAATTTGCAAAGTTTACTAAATAGACCAAGAGATGGAATGGTAGAGGAGCTAGCAATCCATAAATTGTAGCCTGAGCTCTGCGTATAGAAGAGGTACGTCCACTGTCTCATTTCGCTGCGTTCATAATATCTCCTTTATTTTATTCAATACCTCGATATTCTCCTTACTCTCACTGATCAATACTTGTTGCCATTTTAACTTTATTCCTCCTTTTTTTATGGTAACACATCTTGGTTCTAATTTCCCATTAGAGTTCTCGTAATGTTATACTCCAAATACTTCTCAAAGTATTAGCCATCACCGTGATCGACTTCATATTCTTTTCCGTGCACCCAATGATACACAAGCTCTTTCTAGCTGCAGAAATGACTGACTATTTTATCGCAGAACATTCCCTTTTGGCCACCTCAGTTTGAACTATTAGCCAACATTAGACTTAAGAAATATACTACTAAATATCTTGTGTAGTTAGAAACCACCCAGACTGAACTCTTTATATATTGGAAGTCAAATCAAGTGATGTATACAGCAAACGGCTATTCTGCTCGTTCGAAACCTAGCTCACTAGGAGTGTACGTGGAGAAACTTATTTCACAGAGTCGAATCATTCAGATAACCTGAATCTGGCTTCGTGACCTGTACTGACCAACATGTTCAGTGGAAACGCTTTAGACTTGGAAACTTGGAAAACTACTCATCTGTCAAAAATGTCAAGCTAAACTGTGTAATTTATAAGTCAATTAAAATTCATCATCCCTATTTAGGTATTCTGGTCCACACAAGTCAAATACCCAGATTCAAGTGATCTGAACTAATTCAGCTCTGTGAGCTGAATTTGTCCGGATACACAGCTGGTAATCTCTGCTTTAAACAGGCGAAACGGCTCTCCGATTGTTAGATAATTGTGATCTGACCTGAGAAATACTACAGATCAGTGCGAGTGTTTTCTTTTCACTCACGCTGTTCAGTGGTAATACCTTTCGCTACTTCATGATACTTTTGTGTCAGAGATCACACCATATGGTCTTCACCCGACAGCTTCCAACGAAAACCCTGCTGGTACCATTGTTGAACATTTGAAAAACAACTGAGCTGTGGAAAACGTCAGTTTTGAATTACAGAACAAACTTAGTTGCTAGTTTGCTACTACTAGAAATGCGATTATGTAGCTACTGAATATAACAGTCAAGAGAAGTTTCTTCAATGAATTACTCCGTTTTTTGAATTTCTCAATGACCTTCTTTCTAATTTTAGTAAGAAAATTATAATTTTGGATCTCAGCACCAAATGGCAAACTATGAGTAAAATGTATGATACAAATCTCGTAATTTTACTGGAATAAAATAAGTCAAAATTTAGCTACCTTCATTGTTATTAATTTAAGAAATGTAGTAACTTACCTTTTTCTTCATTTATCATTCATTAGAAAGTTTACATACTTACGCTAAAAATCAACAAAATACTTTATGAATTTGTAAGTATAAAAAAACTTAGTTAAAGGCATATCTCATCTTTATTACATATTACAATGTGGTCAACCTTTGTGAACTTACTTTTCCAGATGTTTTTATCCCTTGACAAATTGCCAGAAAAATTATGGTCCAAGCTAGTAAAAGACATAGAGCTAAGTCCCACTGAACTGTTCCCAAATTATCAATACCACTGGATATCCGTAGGACTTTGTTTCTAGAATGAAAATGACACAGATCCTAATTATTGAGAACTTCTCTAAAATATAACTGACAAACAATTTTCGCAGCTGAAAAGAGGAAAAATGTTTTTTTAACTGACTGTATGTGGAATAAACTTCGTGTGTTGGTAATAAGTGGATCAACCGGTATGAGAAAACAGATGAATAATAAATGTTAAATTAGTAAGTTCTTAGGCAGTTTTACTAAGTGTCCTAAAGTATTATTTCTCAGAAAATCATCTTCACTTTACAGTTACCTGTTCGATCACTTTTTAAAGCTTATCAGTCCTTTAGTCTTTAAACCAGCAGGGATGGTTGTTCTACTTGAGTAATTTATGATATCCTTAATTGAAAAGTTATTTAATCTCGATATCTTTCTTCTCTTACAGCTAAGAGGAAGACACGTACCATTTTGCGCTTATATTTATATCCAGTATAAAGGCAGCTTTACAAAAGAATATCTTTTTATCAAAAATTATGAGGACTACACAATACAGAATTTTCTGAAATCGGTAAGATTATATGCAAAAAACATCTATTGCGAATAGGGGAGCGCAACTTTCCTACTTTTATTTTGAAATTACCGTAGTCTGCACAATCACAGAGTTTAACTTGGAACCATAACTTTTATATCTTTTCTTTAAAGTGTTTTTACCTGTTACCTAGATCAGAATCCAGATATCTTCATTTCTTTAATTAAGTTAAAAGAAAGACTTAATCTCCATTTCCGTGTCCTGCAGCGATAATTTATGCTAATAAAACCCCACGAAAAACGCACAAAAACTATTATTTTCACTTTCAGATTCATAACTTCTACTTTTAGAGTCTGGAATGTAATTCGTCAAAAGAAGAGTGAAAAGTTATTTATTTTAAATGATAAATTTATTTGCACAGTAGATTTAAACGAAGTTAATGACAAACTTACTGATCATACATTTTGACAAACCTTACATGGAGCCCAATGAGAAAAGGTCAAAAAGAAAGGCTGAACTCAAGGTAAAGTCGTAGTGGATATCCAAAGAATTAGGAAAACATAAACGTTTTGACTTTTAATAGTGTATTGCCGTTGAAGGGCTAATGTTGTTATCTGTGATTCAAAACTTTCCCATTACAATAGCACAACGGTTTCGTATATATAGATTCATTACGAAAAGTGCTTGTCTGATGTTCTCATAAACGATTGATCTAAAGTTTGATGCTTGAAGAGTAAGTTCAAGTAGCCGTAACTGGGTCAGTTTGAAATACCCCTGTTAACTTACAAAACTTACGATCAAAATAAGAATTTTGAAATATATTCCTGAAATAATTAAATTTAAGTAAAATAGTCATCGGTACGCAGTGCTAGGAAGTCCTACACTATAGTGAAACAGCTGCCAAGTTATCCCAGGTTTTCAACCCTTCTCCAACTTGTGTTAGTCCGTGATGCAAACAACCTTAAAATAAATTACTAATGAAAACGGTTGTAGTTAATAGTATAACACAATTTACAAATATATTCCGACTATATCTTTAAAATTATTGCTATCCAGTTCACTAAGTGGTCACAAACCCTCTTCTATTCATTCGAAACAATCTAGCCTTTTTGAAGCTTGAAATGGTAAATTAGTTTCAGTGTCAACATCAATACACCGTTACCAGCTTTCCTGTCTTGACTAAACCTTCAATTAGGCTTCACATCTTACCTATTCATATAGTTCCAGTAATCTTTATCTAGGTTTAAAGTTAATACCTTTGTAAGTATATTGTTTAGCATGTATTTTACAAACTAATTACTCATTGCTGGTGGGTTAGATCTTATAAATTGATTTTCATGGCAGATTTCTGTCTTGATCGCTATTAATTCTAGTATAAAGAAGGCAGCATTTGTACAAGAATAAAACAAATCATGACAGCTTATCATTCCACGATGGAAAGACTGAGAAATATTCATCTGCTGACATCAAATTATTTATGCTGGTGGAGACAACAGTAACGACAAAAAGTTAATAAAGCTGACAGACAAAACATTGTTTGTGTTGTATTAATAGGAAAATTTAGCTATATTGCATTCAGCCAGCTACCTATTTTTTCTCTTATAAACACTGACCCACTCAGAGTGTAGGTTTTGTTGCTGAAATGAGAGGAAAATTGCTTTCAAGTTTTTTGAGCATGCAGTAGTCGTGACGATCTTCAGAAGTAAACTGAGTTTTGAACAACCAGATCTCTATTTTGCAAACCATATCTATCCCTTCATCAAAGTCATTTTGCATTGATTAACATAAATGTATAAAAGTAGTTCTATCTATTCAGCCCAATCTGCAGTTGTTTATTTTCAAAATTTCTTTTAATGACAATCAAGAATAATATATGTCTTCGAAGAAAGTATTATAATGATAATAACGATTGTTATTTAAAGAATTGGAACACCGAGTTAAGAACTCGTAAAAGAAATGTTGCTCAGTGAAATAAATGACGCATAAGAGTATCACGAGGTCGAATGTATAATTATATTGTTTGCTATTAGTACATAGATGGTACTTTTCAGTGATTAATATTTCTTGAAAGTATTAATCATAAATAAAATAATTTTCTGAATAGAAGGTCATTGACATACTGATAACTGATTACGTGACGTGCTCTCAAGCCGATTTGTTTATTATTAATATTATCTCCGCCCTGCAAAAAATCTTATTCTAATTCTGGTAACTTTGTATTACGTAATACCTGCATGCTATCAACTGAAAACTTTCGCCACCGACTTATCACTGCCGAATGATTTTGTACCTTATATCTTTATATTTTAAACACCTCAGAATCTCTTCAACTCCCACTCTTAGAAGTTTGATCTCTCTTCTCATGAATATTAAGTACAACTCTACCAAAGTATAGTGCATTTTAAGATCAAACATCTCACATGCAAACAACAGCAAGGTAATGATATCTGATACCTATTAATACTGTTCAGTTGATAAAAGTATTACTTTTTCGAGGCACTTTATTACGAAGTGATAAGGATCAACTAAATAAGCACTCTCAGATGCCATCTGAATTTCATTTTCGAAAGAACACTTTTGACACTGCTCACATCTTGTGAAAATTCAAATGACCAGGTTAAACGTTTTGATAAATCAAGAGATTATCAAGTTCATTGCGCACTGCCTCTAGATACAATGACAGTTAGTGAAAAGTTGATCACTACAACATCTTTCTGCACACAATAATGAGGACGAGTTTTTTGGGGATTAACGATTTAGTTGCAAAATCTGGGCAAAGACTCATCTTTAGATGTAAGATAGAATTATAGTAAATGGAGTCCTGCCTTTATAAAAACCCAGCACAGTGGAGTGCTTTAAGACACTATCTTAGGTTCACTTCCCTTGGCAGCTTGCTTGAACTTTGCATGACCTCATTTTACCACGGAAACATTACATCAAATTTCTCCTTTCTACATTGTTTTAGTCATTCAGCTGTCATCTAAACGTATTATGTGCTCTCCGGCATCTTTAAAATCATCACAATCTATTCCTTTACAAGTTGACAGAAAAATTAAGAAAAAGCACTACGGTGGATGGCAACTGGCTGTCAGGTGTATGACCGTAGATCAAATTAATATCCTGGAAATACCTAGCACAGACTGCAGGTCGTTATCGAAGAAAGTTGATTACCTTCAGTCACTCTTGCCCACAAATTTTTATCAGAATACGGGTGTAACAAAGCTGCAATTGACATGGCTTCTTAACTAGTATGATGACCATTCAGTCTCTTTAGATGCTTTCGAATTATTTGGACAAGACTTGAGCTTTCCCAAGAGAAATGTGGCAGAGATGTAGCAACGTTTATCAATACAAACTGATCCACCTCCAACTATATATCCCTTAGCTCCTCTGACGAAAAAATTAAGTGCTTTACCATTAAATATCGTCCTAAACATCTGAGTAAATACAAACATCTGTGTCATATCTGACTGCATTTCCTCAGATTTATCGACTTTTACTGACGACTTCACCGAATTTGCTGTTCCGGTTGTAGGTAGCCCCTTGGTTTTATTCTGTGGAGATTTCAATTCGCGTGACAACAGTTTCCTTGTGTCACTAAGCGGTAAAAATATGGTTAGCTTTTCTACTGATCTTGACAGTACACTAGATTCAGTGTTTACAAATGAATCTAGGATGTATTAGTCCCTTTAAACGAGCTCCGTTGTTGAATTCTGATTACCATAGTGTATAAGTTTTGCCTAAAGTGTATGACAAGTTGCATAAGAAGACTTCTGGACACCTTTCCGAGAAAGTTTAGTACAGATATTATTGACAGGAGAATATGCTGTGTTTGAAAAGCATGCTTCAAAAAACATACCGGGATATATTTGCTGATGAGGTTAGAGCCAGCAAGTTACATCACTAATATCACAAGTTATTTCAGATTCTGTTTCGACATATGCTGCTCTGTTGGAACAGTCTATATGAAATTTGACAGACTTCTCTCTACTTATCTCAAGAGACTCCGGAGAGAAAAGGAAAGGTTGTACAAAGTGAAAGATAAGATCAGCCTGGCGTTAGAAGACTTAACTATAACGTCTGAATAACATTTTCAACCGGAAGTTTCTAGCGTGTAAGAACTCTTTCAATATATGGAAATTGTTTAAACAGCTTACTGGTGAAAAACAAATAGGAAAAGTATCTTGTCCTTACGTCTGCTCATTAACCCAGTTATTAACACATCAGCAAGCTGTTTTTATCCCAACTAGTAACCATAATCAAATGGATAGTCGTTTTGCTGGTTCTAATGTAAGTGACGTTTTTAAATGTATTAAATCCTTGAATCCATTCTGAAGCCTAGGTCCTGATGGTATTTCAAGTATTATATTTAGAAAATGTGTAGATATTTTACGTCAGCCTATGACAGATACCATTATTGCACTGTCTTCCAAAAGTACAATATCCACTGTTTGGAAGGAGACTGAAGTTGTACCTAGATCATCTTCAGGATCAGATATTTGTTTTTAACCAATCTCTATAACTTCCACTTTTTTGAAGACAGTGGTGAAACTACTTCCCTTTACGCTTGAACCTTCATTGAAGGCCTTCAAACATCAAAAACTATTTACTTACAAACCCGAAAGAAGAACTTTAGACGCTGCTACCGTCTTGAAACATAATATATTTTTTCTTGTCTGGATGGTGTTAAGTACATTCTTTATGCCTTCTTGGACTACTCATCAGCTTTCTACTCTGTTCCTAGACCAATCTTGTTAAATAAGCTTGCCAAAGCTCATACTGAGCTATGGGTTACAAAATGGTTATATTCTTATTATTTTGAAGGAAATTAGTAAACTGTTTATGAAGGGAGGTGCTCCAATTCATTACTTAATGAAGCTGGGGTGTCTCAAGGTGCAGTAATTTTCCCGTTTCTGTTTTTACTCTTTTTGCATGACTGAACTCATTCCGTTGAATTGAATTTTGCTGAGTATGCTGATGACCTGACGGCTTCTATACCAGTTAAATCCCATTAAAATTCCTCTCAGTTTAGTGGTTTGTTGTCTGAAATTCCCTAGTAGTCCCTCTCAAATGGTTACAAGCTAAACTCTTCCAAATCTTAGACTGTTAACTTGGGCCTCAGACAAGAAATTCCATGAGTCCTGTTTCACTGATAGCATTGCTGCAGAAAATAAATCGAGTGCTAACTATCTTGGATTGAGTTTTACTTCCAGTCTTAGTTAGTTATCTCATATCTTGTTGTCTTCCGAGAAAATCTTTCATTTCACGTATTACACAAAGAAACAGACTGTCTGGTATAACTCAGCCTCTACTTTTACAATTTATAAATTCCTGCATTTTACTTGTTCTTCTTGATTGTTTCTGCTGATCTTTCCTATTCTACTGAAAAACGACTATATTATATTGCGTAGGTCTTTGAAAGACGTCGGTAGGGTATGCTGTGCCTCTGGATCAACGGATTAATACTGTAGTTGACAAACATTCAAGTTCTAGCACGCAACTAGCTACATCAATTTTAAATGACAATAAGAACCCGTTTTATACACAGCTGTCACCTTGTAACTGCTCAGATAGGACAAGAATGTAAGTTCGAACAGCCAAATACAAAAATTCATCTGTGCCTTGCCTAGCACGCATATCGTATGAGGCAAAAAATGTTTGAAGAGAACTTACTTATCAAATTTGCAACAATAGATAATCTCTTCCCAATAGTAACTAACATTGCAAAGTTCTCCTTGTTATTAATATTCTTTAGATAACTCAAATTGTTATATTAACACTACTCGAAATGTTTTAAAGGTATATACATATACATATATTTCATCTCGTTTCTTTGTATTTTGATATGCTGATATTTAGCGTAGCAACTTCGGCATCAGACATAATTGCCAAATCCCCTGTTTTTAGTGACTGATTGATTATTTATAACCTTGGGATCAAAAAATGCATATAGTTTGATACTACCCATTCTTACAGAAACTTCTGAACATTAGGTATCAAGCTTTTATTTACATTAATACATTCAGTTATTAAAGTTAGTTAACAGAGTTAAACATTGTTTAAACGATAAATTTCATCAACAGTTACAGTCTTCTAAAGGTAGCAAATACCAATAGCGTGAAATATTTTGGGATCTGAATAAGTCATGCACTAAACATTCTACACTTTTATTCTAACTCATCTATCACTAAACGTTTCGGTCAAGAATTGAAAGAATCTAATCTAAAAGTACTTCAAATTCATAACATGGGCATTTAGAAGCTAATCGCCGTACTGTTCCGATTCCCTACACCATTTAAGCCTGACCTAAACAGCAAACAGCCCTTTTCGTACACTTTATTATGGGCTCGTCAGCGATTTACTTTGGTGAATTTAGCATACATGGAGAAACAGAAAACTAGACATGGAATATGCAGTTTACAGATAGACTGCGAGTCAGTCACGTTGATTTTGTACTTATAGGGTTGAAACTACCACCCCAGAAACCTGACTTGGTGTAAACTTAGACGTCTCATAATCTGATCTTCGGTAAATTATGTTCTAGAACGAATTACTGTTTGTGGCGTACATAATACCTTCACCTGTATATAAAGGAATATGCACTGCAGTAGAAAAATACTTCCTACTATGTATCCACTACTCATGTTTTTGAAAGGGAGCAGAAGGAAACCCTACAGTATGCGATTCACACAATCCGTTTCAGCAATGAATATATTTGACAACACATCGAAACATGTTTATCATCTGATTTCGGGTATTAAAGCGAAATCAATGAATGAAAATGTGAAATAACTTAAAAATTGATTTTCATGAAACTTGTCGCTCAACTATGTATAGTTCTTCCATCGATATTCCAAAGATGCAATTTACAACTACTGGCAATACAGTTCAAACAATTTTCATCCATTACAGGTTTCAAAGTCTTGTAAGCGTGCAAACAAACAGTTCCAAATCCCTTACATTATTCTTAAGTCGAATTTTCGGTTGCTTTTTGTTCAGAAACAGTTAGGGCTGTAGTTATTTAGAATTCTAAACAGGGCCATCTAATAGAATCTGGTGCTTTTGGGCCGTAAAATAAAGTATTTTGAAGGGGAGCCTACTTGAGCATATAATTTCAGCCTTCATTCTACTCCTGTAGATGACAGTCTTATAATTTTGTTGCAACTTATGTTTGACACATCTTAATTTTTTAAGGAGTAGTTGAAACCTGATTGCTAAAACAAGATCATTACTTGCATCACAAGATTAAGCTAGAATTCAGTTATCCAGAAAAAGAAACAATTAGCTGAGTTACTTGAAAACTTATAAAGCATACAGACTTACTCCCAGTATTCCGCAGCGGGATCAACTTCCATTAAATCTTTACGTAAAAACTGTGTGGAATTACTCAAGTTTGTCTTCACATCAACTGTATGACATGATTCAGTATTCCAAGAATTACCACATTTTGTCCAAGGAAGTTCTGTATTGAACGAAGCGAAGATAAAATGAAATGCCCACCCAAGAATAACAGTGTAATAACTGTTCACGAGGAAATTTATTAAAGTACTTGCACATCCAATACCTATAAGATGAAACCAATAGTCACAATTAATCATTGGTTGTTAAAGGTTGTTAAAGCAATCATACGATGAAACAGTATTCTGAATAATAAATATTTATCAAACATACCTCTAAAAAGTGGACAGATATCCCATGCTGCTATTGCTCCTTTGGACATAAACTGACCCAAAGCAACTTCAAGAAGAAATAATGGTATACCAGCAACTATAACGCTGACGAAGTATGGTAAAAGGAATGCGCCTAAACAAATTATTAAAAAAAAGTTTCTGTAGCCTCATTTTACTAGACAATTCAACACTAAGTAAAATTCACTGAAATAAGAAACGTGGTATAAAAATGGTTGCTTTGATTCTGCTGTTTGACTAATCACGTGAGGATTACTCATTTGATAGCAAAGTTGCGTTCAGCGTAAGTGAACTTGGCTATGTGATAACCTCCAAACTGTCCAGCATCAGTTTTTTTCCAGCACTTATGGCAAGAAAAGGTTCTCAAGCTTCCTCTTTATTAGAACTTTAAAACCTCTGTCATTTCACAAAAGTAGGTTCCTTCAAATATCTCCCATATGTAGATTTTATTTCAGCCGTTTACAAAAAGGCAGAACCTTTATCTGATAAGTCGATCCAACTGAATAAATGTACCAATAAAATCCATGCACAAGAAAAATTAAGCTTAACAATAACTTAAGTATTACTATTTATTGATATGCTTGTAATTCTGTGTTGTTTTACTGGATCGGATTGTTAGAACTCTATTGACCTTAATGAAGGAATCGCCAGTGACCTAAACCTCTTGAACTGACAACTGAATATTTCATGAACTGGCCACCTTAAGATTCTTCTCACAGTCTTACTCCGACTGTCATAGCCCTCTAAAGTAGAATCAGCGATGTATGCGTGACATAAGTTTCAACCGTGGCAGTAGATGAAAGTTTGCAACATCATTAACTCACTTTATCCTCCTTATCTAACGCACTTTAACCTACCTACCTTCTGACTGTTCAGAAGTGTGCTCTAACACTGAAATGACAGAAGAAAGTGAAATATAATCTACCCAAGTCAGAGAGGGAAGCTCTCAGGAATCTTCAAAATGATAACAATATAGTAATTGCCAAATCGGATAAAGGCAGCTCAGTAGTTGTGATGAACAAATCTGACTACATCTGCAAGGTGAACTAGCATATAGAAACAGGACCATATGAGGAAATTAAGAAGTCAGTGGATACTATTAAGAATAAGGTCAAGAAATCGACAGGGGATCTGATACGCCGGATGAAGCCATTTCTAGGTGAGTCAAAGTGGTTTAATTTAATGCCGAAAACTAATAATGCCAGTAGAATGTATGGTAGTATTAGGATTCATAAGCCAGGTTATTCCATCAGGCCTATAGTAGATTTTAGAAACACTCCGACTTACAAGTTGTCGAAATATTTATCAATGGTGTTAGGTCCAGTAAGAAATCACTCAAAGTCTCGACTTACCAACTCTTATGACTTAAAGCATAGGTTAGACGACAGTGAAAAAAATGGCTAGTTTTGACATAACTAGCCTTTACACAAACATACCGATTGACATGGCTCTGGAGGCAGTTCGAAATGGGCTTGAAGATGACAAAGAACTTACGCAGCGAACTAAGCTGCCGATTGAGGAAATCATACTAGGAGTACAATTGCGCCTAACATCTACAGTTTTTAAGTTTCAAAATAAAATATATACAAACTGAAGGTGTTGCCATGGGGTCACCAATATGCCCTATCGTCGCAGACATATTTATGGATAGTAGGGAACAGGTAGCCCTTCAAACATTTAGTCCTACTTTAAAGATATGGTTCCGATATGTAGATGATACGTTTACAGTACTGAAATCGGAACACCAATAGGTTCTTGGCACATATAAATTCAGTAGTAAATACAATCCAATTTACCTGTGACTTAGAAAGTGAAGAAGGTGAGCTAGCAATGTTGGATTTCAAGACTAAACGAACACAAGGAGGAAATCTAGAGACTAGTGTCTATAGGAAACCTACCCATTCGAATCGCTACTTAGACTTCGAATCCTCCCACCTCATTTCAGTTAAAGTAGGCCTAGTTAAATGCTTAGGTGATAGAGCGAAAAAGCTTACTAGTAGATCGGAAAATCTGCGACAAGAAATTAGACACATCAAGAATACCCTACGTCTCAATAATTACCCACCAAAATTTATAAACAAATTCATAAGAAATTGAAAGGAAAATATTAGCAGTGGTAGTAGTAGTAGTAGTAGTAGTAGTAGTAGTAGTAGTAGTAGTAGTAGTAGTAGTAGTAGTAGTAGTAATACAAATGTTATTAATAAGAGGGTTAAGAGAGAATTCAAAGCCTCCGCTGTGTTACTATACAAGTAAGGCACCTCAGAAGCACTACGAAGAACTCTCAATAAGGCTGGGATTAAAGTGGCACTCAAACCAACAAACTCACTTAGAAACAAGCTTTGTAGGTTAAAAGATCCTATCGACGCAATTAAGCAAAATAATCTGGTTTACCAGATTCCTTGCAATGATTGCGAGGTCAAGTACATAGGTCAAAGCAGTCGACCAGGGTCGATTAGAATAAAAGAGCACAAAAACTTAGCTAAATCAAGATCAGTAGATCCTAATAAGATAAGAAATCTAGAGAAAAACTTGACTATAGCTCTGCATGCGATGACACACAATCACACAGTAGGGTGGGATAGGGTGACAGCGTTGAAAACTAACTTAGTTGAGTGGAGGGAGAGATTGATTGTTTATCGAATCAACACCAAATACATGCAATCGAAATGATGTTGCACCTGTCCCAGATATATGGAAAATTCTACTACCCTTGTCATCTCAGAGAAGAAGAGAATACTAGGAATATATAAAGACTGTCTTGAAGTTGTGGAGTTACCTGATATGAATATGGACAATAAATTATGTCCGAAACGTTATCCAGTAAATGCTACTGTTTCACTGTGTGATATTTCTAATAAACAGACTAAAATGGAATTACACTCTACCATGATGCCTACGTTTTACACTCTTATTAAGAAAAATGAATAATGCAATTTAATTGGACTATAAAATTCTGTGTCAGGAAATGTGTGATTATTTTTCTTGATTAACAGACATAACTCCGACTTCAAATTTCATCTGCTAGTTAATACTGTATTACTGAGTGTCTACCATTCTAATAACTGCAACTCCAACTGATAAACTTCTGCGCAAGATTTAAGGTTTACTGTTATGTAAATCCGATAGTATTTTTACTCAGAAATATTCAAAATTTTCAAAAGATATGGTTGAAGAACCGTTGGCAGTTCACACACCGAGTAATAATAATTTGGCTACCCAACTAATGAGTGCAGCTCCATAAAAGCGTTGGTAGCACGAAACAGTGAGATTATTGACAAAAACAAAGCGTTAGCTCTGTGCCGATTCAAACAGAAAATTTCGCAGACGAAATCGGTCGCACCTGTGAAAATAAATTTTGAATAGTTGTGAAATAAAATGGATGTACACTAGAAAGCAAGGCACTTTGTTCACAAAGAAATTTTAATTAGGCCTCAAATTTTTTTAAATGTATTGGTCAGATTCACCTTAGTGACTGATCATTGTTACAAGAAACCTAATCTATACAGTAAGCATTTTTTGTCATGCCATAGTAAGCAAGTCATGGTTCCTTAGTTTCCCCCATTCCTATAACTAATTACAAAATACATTTTGGCAGCCGAATTTTAGCCCTCTTGAACATAATCTGTCTTGGCTTAAATTGCATCCAGAGCTGTAATTTATGAGAACAAATAGTCACTAGTCAAGCATATGAAAAATCCAAGAGTTATTGACAGTCCTCATCGTTCGACGAGATATCTTGAGTTCACTTCAAATGGACAGCTTGTGATATTTTGTGCCTAGTTTTATATAAACGTCTCATCAGTTAAAGGTACAAATTATCTTCCCCGTGTACATATAAGTGGTTTTTAGTTACTTTCGTCAAGTAATATTTTTCTAAAGAAACACTTCCCTACACTTCTCGCTCCAAGATTGATACTATATTCATCTCAGTATTCAGAAGTTCAGCGGAACATATCCTCCCATAAAAAGTACCCGCATGAAGCAATAACGTAGAAAAAAAAGGTTATCTTGAATGATTGCTATCCCAGTAATTTCAATATCTACAGTATACCTAATTCACAAACACTTTTATTTTAAATCTTTCAAAAGAGGTTGTTCCTATGTTTGACTACTCACGTGAGAAACTCTGCCTTGTCCTTACAAAGGCTCAAAGGAACTATTGAGGCACATATCTACTGTTCCTGTAACCTTAAAGTATTTCCCTTTCAGAATCACAAAAACACTTAAGGTATATTCTGTCACTAAAAAACTAGTGTTTTTTTATTTTGAAGTACTGTCTCATACACTTAGTGCCTATACAGGTGGTGAAAAAACGAAATCGCAGGTGTTTTCGGTGAAAAAGCAATGGTAGTGAGCACAGATATTGTAGACACCATATTCTCTCCGCACACTACGCATCCTGGTTTATATCAAATCTACAAAAGCTGAATGAGTTTTAAAAGTGAGGTCTATTTTGCGAACTATAGATTCAATCTTACTAGTAGGGGAATGAGTATTGTTTTCTTATCATATAATAAACTCAGATAGAAATCTACGTAACCTCCCCTGGTTACTAGTTCACTAGTTAAAGGTAAAGAGGGAAGGTTGGGCATAGGGCTACCAACCCAACCCGTAAAACAAATCTAACCGCTAAAGAAACTTCAAAGCACAAACAAAATATAAAAAACAAAAACAAACTTATTCCTCGCTGGAGTCGGAGAGGCGAAATGACGCCAGTTGGTGAAAACCTTCAACAAGCCAATTGTTGGCCGATGTGCCTTCTCTTCTCTCGATGAAAGCGAAAGTAAACTTGAGGACATGAAATGTCCGCACCGTGTTTGAACCCAGCAAGCCAGCCCAGATTGCAAACGAGATGAGAAGATATGAATCACATTGAAGTGTTAGGAATTTGCGAAAGCAGATGGAATGGGAGTGGACTCTGCAAACCGTCAACTGGAGAATCAATAATCTACTCTGATATTGTCACACAGATGACAACCACGAGCACAGCACACTGAGTTATGGAGTGGCTATCATGATGTCCCCAAGAGCA